TTGTATCTGCTAAAAAATTGTCTATCATATATAGAATTTATAGCAACAATATTCTAAGAATATATGCAAGAAAATATAAGTCTCATAACCAAATATGATTGGAGTCTGGATTGATTAAACGTCATAGAGAAACTTTCTTGCTAAATTTAACAAATAGTTCAGATATAATTTCTGTCTCTGTTATCTATATTGATTGAAATACGAAACATATGTGATATCGCAGTGTTTATCCGTTTTAACTAATCTTATCCGTTTTAACTAATTTTTCGTACCTAAATAATTCTCGCTATAATTGCAAAATTACTTCTTTCAGTGAGTCTCGGTCAAGTATGTTTTCCGGTAATAAATCTGATAAGGTCAACAAGAGACCTTCTAGAGAGATGTTGTCTGCACGGAAAAGTCGGTCTTATCAGCCTTCATTGCAAAAGAGCGACAACGGATCGAAAGGTGAGAGTAAGATTTTTCGCCGTTCACAGGCGCGATATAGCGCGCCTAAGTTAAAATATTATTTTATAAGAATTTCGATTTTTTTACACAGATCAGGTGATACGTACCACCAACTTTTTGAGGCGTAAGGCTATAGATTCGATCGACTCAATTAAACGCAAACTCGAAAGTATCCAAGGAAACTATGACGAACGCTAAAAACTACTTTTGCATATCGTCATTATCTCAGTTGTCCCGATTCCTGTCCGAATCCCCGACTCGATTCTTGTCCCGATCTTCTTTTCTATCTCGATCTCCTATTCTCGATCCGCTATCTCCGTCTTTGTTCCGATCTTCAATACAAGAGTGGATAAATCAACAATTCGATAAAATAATAGAAATTTACACGCTGGAAACAAATAAATTTACACGCCAGAGAAATTACGACCGAAAAGGGTAGGTATGACTGATACCAGTGTCACTGTACGCATTGTATGTGCTAAAGAGCGAACTGAACCGACTGAAAGAAGGTGAGAGAACGATTCTTCACCGTAGAAAAGCAGTATCATGCTAAAATAAAAAGATTATTTCACAAGAATCCCTTATGCAAATCAAAAGATAAACACTAATAAAAATCCGCTATTTTCCTTAGGTCATTTAAGTTTACGGCATTTCTTTTCTCGGATACAAAAGTTGAAAAAATTGCTGAAAAGGCAATTCGATGACATATATTCACGAAATACCATTAAGAATAAGAGAGATATTTTCCAGCCTTCACTAGAAAATCAGTCTCCATTGACTGTGAATAAGAGCTACAACAAAATAAAAGGTGAGAGAAAGATTTTTTTTATCATAAAAAGGTGTAATGTCACACCAAAATAAAAATATAATTTCACAAGAGTTTCGATTTCTTATACAGATCAAGAGAGATAGAGATTCATTTTAGCGATGATAATAGGACGTCCAGAGTGACGATGAGTGACGAGAATTTTGATGAATATTAATTAGGTTTGACTACTCTGTGTAGTCCTATCTCGACCGTTTAATGGAATCAAGATTAGCCAAGAAAGATAATGACGATTAAAGGCATAGGAATTTCGGACGTTAAGATATACTCCCAATTGCGGAAATGTTATAAAATAATTCAAATAAGACAATTCAAAGAGATAAAAGTGTTCAAATGGTCAAAAAATGAAATAAAAACGAGTTTAATCCAAAATAAAATAAAGTAAATTTTACTTTATCTTTAATTACACCTGTTTTTTAAAATTTTATTTGTCATTTGGATCTTTTATCTCTTTGAACTATCTTATTTGAAAATATGTTCAATATTGCAAATCATTATCTCGTTGAATGATACCTTTTACTGTAGACAAAAGTAAAAATAATTGTTAATATGATTTAGCTCTCTTGATGGATATGTAATGTAGAATAAAAGTGTATTACATTTGCATAAAAATTATAAAATTGTATTATAAAAGTATAAAATTATGAAATACTATTATTATTGTAATTTCCTGTTTAATATAAAGATATATTTATTCAATTAGAAAAAAAAGTACCAATTTTTATAAAAGCGCACATTTATATATATATTTTTTTATTATTATAAATAATTGCGTAATTTTACATATTTTTTTAGTACTGAGATACATAATGTGACGTGCATACTTAACGAATTCTTCCACAATATCTCCGATTGCCATGTCGCTCAATGTAATCAAACTGTACAGAATCACCGCTCGCCACAGGCGCACAATGACGATATTATTATATATAGAGGCGTGATATATGTATAATCCATTAAACGCCATTGAAATAAAGTCATAATTCTTGTTCTAATATTAAAGAATAAATTTGAATTGTTTTATCAATTATATTAACATAAATTATACTGATCTAATGATAGATCTGATAAATATGTACTTATTGTTAAAATGAGTAATCATTTCCATGAAGAATTTATGCAAACAATGTATAATTTTTAATTGATCGTATTGCAATCTACAATAAAATCTAATTTTCAAAATTGCCATGTTAAACGCTTTTTAATATTTTTCATTTAAATCCTAATTGTAATTGTGTTTCACAAGTTGAAAGAAATTATACTTTTGCTACATCGAAATATATATTTTTTTATTTTTCAGTTTTAAATGTTATTTCAAAGTATATATTATTACCACATAGATACTCAGACAACACAAAATCTAAAATCGACGCATAGGATGTTTTTCAGTCATTTTAGATATTTTTTAGACAGTTCTCGTAGAAGTGTCTAAAAGGCATTTAAATAAAAGACTTTTTAAAGATGTCTTATGCGTCAATTTTAGATTTTGTGCTGTCTGGGCAATATAAATTGGCCCTTTTGTTAGATATCAGTTTTTAATATATATATGTATATTGACGAAAACATATATGTAGGTATATGTACATAATTGAATAAGTAACTTCGCGAGCAATTGATGATTTTATATGTAGTATTACATTTGGTAAGATGCATAAGTATACTTTGAATTTGTGATTGTTATTTGCGAATATATCCAGTTGTATTGTAATGATGGGCAACGAATCTGTATTATTATTATAATCTATTATTATTATTATTATCTATTTGCATAGAAAAGTAAAGGATATAAATTTATATACACGAGTTATTAATATGCGTACACATAAAAATGTTATTTATTCATATATAAATTGCGTATAAATATTAATTAAAGTATCTGAAGCATAAAATATAAAATATAAAAATACAAATAAATTTAAAGAAATAAATATATAAAATGATATAAATATGTAATATAATAAATTAAACGTTAATTAAGTACAGCATAATACATATTTTAAAAACTTGTTTTGAAAGTTTCACACTAATCAATATACCAGCGTTTGCAAAATTTTCATATCTCCCACTCTTCTACTCTTTCACAGTTCGAAATGTGTGCAAGTTGGACAGTAACATCGCCAATGTTCAAGCGATGAAAGTTATTTGCTGTTGCTGGTCGCCAAGTAGTAGTTACATACTTATCTAACACTGATGTAGGATCTCTAAAAACAAAAAAATATTTTTATCTTACTTTGTTATCATCTTTTCCAACAATATCTTTGCGTTGCACAACCTCTGATAATTACCCCGTCTTTGCAAAATTGGTCCACATTCTCGTAAGAATTTCTAATATTTTTCGATCGTTTGTACCTATTGCCGGCGGATCCTTGCCGTTAGGATCATTGTTTTTACAAATCGGCTCGTAAAAAAGGTATGCCAAATCATCAGTATGAGAAGCACCTAAAAAGTTTTCAGTTACATTAAAATTATAAAGTAAATAAATGAAATTAATTTTTAATCAAGGAAGTTTTATAAATTGTATAATTCCGGTCATACCGAGTGCAGTCAATGTATTCCCCATAGCCTTTGCCAGAGTCATCTGATTGCCAATGTAAGAAAAGTTATAAAAATAAGTCGGTGCTTGCTTTGTTTTCCTTCGTCTATCCACAAAATCTTTAATGGGACGTGTAAAATGCTCGTCACTCAGAAATCGTATAAGAGATGGGATACTCTTTTGAGTAAAGTTAGTAACATTATTAAAATATCGGCGTTTAACACATGTTGTCAAGTTATTTATTGTTTCAGAGTCAGTTATTTCTCCTTGCGCTTTTTTAAAATTTTTTACGAGTAGTGGTAGAGACGCATACCAAGTGTTTAAAGCATTTGGAGCGGCGGCTAAACCTATTAATAGATAAATAATCTATGAATTTAAAAGGACGCAAACTACATCACTGCAAACTATTATATATAATATTATATTTTAATAATAATATATGATCTACATATAACATTTAGTATAAATTAATTTTGTTAATCTTTATACCTGTATAAAAAAAGATATATTCGTGAGAAGTATGACCAACTATGATTGGTATATTATTGTCGTTGTCAAGTAACTCAGAGACGGGACGTGGAAGAAAAGGTTTTTTTGCTTTATCGTCAATTGTAGGTCCAAATGGGACAAAACGAGTAAATGCTTCCTACAAAATATTCTTCTTAAGTATAAGTTAGTAACAGTGTTATCCGTAATGTTTATTGTTTAATATGAATAAATCACCACATTTAATATTGTAGAATGTAATACAAAAATAATTTAATTTTTAGACGCAAAATAAAAAAAAATACATAAAATGTAACTCACCTCTGGAATGAGAACTTCATATTGCTTTTGAATGATTTCATCGACAGAAACTTTTTCTCGAAGAAATTTAATAACTGTTGCAGGGTCCGTGGAATCGTTGCCAAGTTTTGACGCAAGCTTAAAAGAATTGGCTGTTGGGTTATCTCCTGGCAGGTTCATCATCGCCCAATCACATGTACTTACACCACTCTGAAGAATAGCTTTGTGGAAGAGATCTAGAGATATCCGTGCGTGTGTATGCGCGCCCGCATGTGTGTGTATGTAAAGAGAGAGAGAGAAAGAGAGAAAGAAGGAGAAATAATATTAATATTTTACTTTTAAACAGGACATATTTTTAATTCATCGTTACTGCTTATTAAGAATATATTATGTACCTTTAGATAACGATGACAATGTTAAGAGATGCGTGCAAATGCTACCTGCACTGACGCCAAAAACAGTGATATTGTTTGAATCTCCGCTAAAAACCTCGATATTTTCCTTGATCCATTTTAATGCGGCAACTTGATCCTTCAAACCTTGGTTTCCGCTTGCTTCTTCGTGACCAAGATTCAAGAAACCTTAAAAAACAAAAAATTTTAAATGTATATGTATATTAATAAACGAAATTACTGCTTTATATTTTCTGCAAATATGTGATAAGAATTTTTCGAGCAACTTCAAGAGATACGTTTCCTTCAAAGCAAATCTTACCCAAAGCACCAAGTCTATAGCTTATAGTCACTAAAATGACATCTTTTGCCATAAGGTAATCAGGTTTGTCCTGACTATCGTTGCCAGTACCAAAAATATAGCCTCCACCGTGAATCCAAACCATAACAGGATTTCCATTTTTCGTATAAATATTGTACGGTACATAAATATTAAGATAAAGACAGTCTTCCTGGCCAATAACCACTTTGTCAAGTGACGGTTGCAATGGCGGTATTGGGGGGTACAACTGTGCACTAACTTCGCCACATTTGGAAGCGTCTCGAACATCTTCCCAGGACGCAGGAGGTTCGGGATCCTGATTTTTAACAACCGTAAAATATGATTTAATATCAAATAAAATTACATTTCGCAACAACCATAAAATAATTAAAATTAGGCCATTTATTATTGCTTTTATGGTATACAAAAATAATTGTAATGCGTCAGAATAATGGTAAAATAGTTTTAAACAGAGATACAATAAATAGAAATAAATTAAAAATTATTTGGAATCGATGAATAAGTTACCTTAAACCTCAATGGGCCTACTGGTGGAGCAGCAAAAGGAATGCCTTTGAAAGAGTAATAATCGTGCGAACCAAAGACATTTTCTTCAAGGATTCCTTGCACTTCTCCTTGTTTCACGCGCAAAATCGGTCTCGATCGGTCCCGATTTCTAACGCAGGAAGAACCGTCCATACTTTATATATAGAATATACACTGTTAGGTTCGTCGTGTTCTGAAGATACTGCTATTTCTAAACCGACTGTCTGACTTATATACTCAATGATGACTTCGATAATGACGTAGACAATGACGTAGTAATGACAAGCCGAATACCTTAAATGTTTATATCATATACCTCTAACATATATTTACATGCTACATACTTGTAACACAGTAATAGGCTGCGTTCCACTAAACTCGCAACGCTCTTGAAATCATTTCATCCTTGTTGTTTATCAAACGTTAAACAAGGATAAATAATGTTCGTGAGCGAACATTAACCGTTGGAACGCAGCCTAATTTGACCGACGATTTTGACTCATATATATCATCTATATTGTTTATCTCAAAAATGGATGTATTCGAGCAGAAAGCATTTCATGACAGCTCGACGCGGCGTGTTTGTGATATCGACGAAAGTTGTTTTGCGAAAAATCAAAGATTATTTAATAGTGATTTCAATTACATATAAAAAGATTGTCAACGTTTTAAAAAAAGAATATTGAATAGTATATTACAATAAAGTATTTTAAAAAATATAGTTAAACAATTTTTTAAAAATTGGAATATACAAAAGTTTTGAAATTATAAAAGGATTGTTTAAATATGTGCATATTTCTTACCGTTTTAATGTACACTTGAAATTATTTTATAAGTCGTTATCTCTTATTCTACTTTTTTTTACCAAACAAAAAAATTAAAAATTCGATTTATGTATATTAAAATATTATATTCATTTGGCAAGTTAATCGTTGATAAATTTAACGGGCATAACTGCTCAAAGCGAAATTTTTAACTATATATTCCTAACGTCGTTCCTAATCTAATTTTCTTTTTGAATGTTAACAAAAAATTTATACTTCCATGTTAAAAATATATTTTATTCGATCGAGTTTTCAACTTGGCCACATGTTTACTGGCTCCAGCCTTTTTATAAGTAAACTTATCAGTAAAACAGTATCATCTATAAATTTGATCAATAGCTATTCTTCCTCAGTAGATTATAACCATTTCATATATCTGTTTTTCTGCCTTCGGAAATTCAAAAATCTTGTTAAATTTGAACTGATTTGATAACATTGTGAATTATCGTTGTAATTGACTTATATAACTAAACTTTTATATAATTTGAAAATTGCTAACGTCGATCAGTTCTTATTGCCCTTGTTATACCGTCTTTAATGTTATAGTGTACGGCTTTTTTTGCTCGCGCGCGGATTATATTTAAGTGGTCGTATTTTAATACGACGTGTGCACATTCTTATCTTCATACAATAAATAACACGTCTTACGTTTTATACATATACATTATTCGTTATTGCCCGTAATCGAGCATTCCAAGTGAAAGTAAAAGCCCGCATAAATCCACGACTGTGAGCAGAAGGCATTTCATGATAGCGCGATGCGGCGCGTTTGTGGTACCGACGAAAGTAATGGAAAATTATTTTGCGAAAAAATCAAAAGTTATTTAACAATGAATTCAACTACGTATAAAAAGATTGTCAACTGTTTTAAAAAAGAATATTAAATAATATATTACCATAAAGCACTTAAAAAAATTTAATAAAACAACTAAATTCGAGAGCGTCTTCAACGGTCACGGCTGGATTTTGCCTAATAATGTTTAGATGAATTTCTTAACTTTATTATTCAGCTGTTTTTAACTGTGTGCCGAATAAATTTTCGGACTTGTAACGCAATCATTAGCTGAGGCAGGAATAGAGATATCATATTGATTTTCAATTTTTAATAAAATTCTTTTCAGTACTTAAAATGCTTATAAGCATGAATTTATTAAGAATTGAAGATAAATGTGATTTTTTATTCTCAAGGTATGAATGAATGAATTTCTTAACTCCATTATTTAGCTGTTTTAAACTGCGAATAAATTTTCGGACTTGTAATGATTGCATTACAAGTCCGAAAATTTATTTGCAGTTTAAAACAGCTAAATAATGGAGTTAAGAAATTCATATAGATATTATTAGGCATCAAGATCCAGCAACATGACCATTGAAGACGCTCTTGAATTTAGTTGTATATTAACTGTGCGGTCTATTTTAAATTATAATTATTGTTTAATAAGACAATTTTTGCAGAAAAATCTGAATATATAAAAGTTTTGAAACTATAAAACGATTAAATTGTTTAAATTTGCTCATATCTCTTACCGTTTTATTAATATACACTTAAAATTATTTTTCGATATTTCTGAAGATGCTTTACCCGCTATAACGGGCATAAGAGCCCGACCAAAAACATTGTTTTGATCTAGAATATACTCAAAGGACATATCCGAAGCGGGAAGACGTGTTTGTTTTCTTGTAGGGAAGCAGAACGTATCGAAACGACGAGTCAGTTGGCGGATAATCCCGCGGACCTGTACATCGTTAGGAAACGCTGTATCGGAAATATTGGGAAACATGTTCGCTGAACATATAAAGGTGCGTAATCTCTTGTCGTTCTCTTTTAAAACGTGAGGAAATAT